CCTCCTCGTAGTAACCCCACCATACATCTTCCTCCTCCTCCTCTTCCTTTTCGGATACGGCGTCGCGACCGGACTCGGAAGCGGAAACTCACCCCTCGTCGACGAGTCGTCCGAATCTTCCGAGTCGGACGCGGATTTGCGGGGCGGGGGGTGGGATGTTGGGAGACGGTCGAGGTTTTCGTAGGAGAAGCATTTGCGGCGGAGGCGGGGGTAGGGGCGGCGTGGGGAGCGCGGGGAGGGAGGGGAGGTTGTGGAGGTGGGGTCTTCGGGGGTGGGGCTGGTGATGGGGTTTGGTGGCGGTGGTGGGGTTTGTTCGGATTGGCAGCGGGTCATTTGGGGGACGGAGAGTTTGGATTTGACGCGGCGGAGGGGGTCGAGTTTTTTGAAGGGGTCGGTGGAAGGTCCTGGGGCTGTTTGAATGACGTATTTTAGCATATTGACGGCGAGAGATCTCCACTGTGGATTGTAAGCAGATTCTCACCTCCCATCATCAAACCCTCATCACTGCTCGACCATTCTTCTTCATCATCCACCGTCACCGCGCTCTGGATGGCACTCGTGGCAATAGACATCACCTCCTCGTCCCCATTCTGCACCGAGATGCTATCCAAAGATGACTCCCTCGGCGCCTCCGCATCCTTGATATCCGATACCCGCCGATCAACCGGCCGTCCTTCCTCCCTCCCCTTCCCCTTCTCGTCCTTCTCCGGAACCAAACCCTTCTTTCCCCCAGCCTTCCTTGAAGACCTCCTGATCTTCCCCTCATTCGCCGCAAGCCCATAATCAATAAGCTCCTTCCACTTACTCCCACTCCTGGCATATCCCGCCAGCGAGTCCCTTTTGCGGATGATGCCATCCTGATTAGCATAGATGAAGAACAGCGGCATGTGTTGCAGTGTCTCGAACCGACGAAGATACGGGCTGAGCTCGTTCCATACGATCCACCGTTCGTACTCGGATTGGATGCTGTTCATGACCTCGGCAGTCATGTTGGACGCGGCTGAACTGCGACGCGAGGAAATGCTGGACGTTGAGTCGCGACGCGGTTGGAAACTGACGCTTTCCACGGACCCCCGTCGCTCCGCCCCTTCATCAGGCTGTCCCGCAGTCTCATCCAAGGAACCCTCGGCCGCTTTCAGGTAACCTGCTTCGGCCCGTGACAGTTGCTCGTTTACTTTTTGTTTTGTTTCTTCGTTTATTCCAGGATCATCCTGCACCCGCTTTCTCGATCTCTCCAACACGTCGACCATCTCCTCAGCAGCCACCCGGTTGCCCCCGACGGCGCTCTCCAGTGATTTCTGAACCATAATCTCTTTCCGTTTATCCGTTGTGTCGAGCATCCAGTTGTTGTCTGCTTAAGAGGTTATTTGTCTGGAAGCAGTCAGCAACGACTTGGTAACACTCACAAAGGCTCTCGAAACCCATTTTGATCATGCTGAGAGAGACACCCCAGGTCGGATTCTCAAGGCTCGCGGACATCATTCCCTGTTTGATCAATGAGAACTTGGACACATACACCAGCAAATTGGGCCACAAAAACTCACATACGGATCCTCCAAAGCATCCTTCACCCACAAAGCCGAAGAACTCTGATCCAAAATAACTTTCTCAATAGCCTTGGGCACAAACCGCTTCACGTAAAGCAAGGCCATGATCCCCTGCCGGAACGGCAGCGGATACCGCATGACGTGGTTGATATAACGAGACATATGTGCCTTGGCGTAGCGCAGGTTCACCCCCAACACTCGTTCCAAAATCCCGTTTTGATGATTACTGAAGTGAGCAAGGTCGGAAGCACCAAGGTCGATTCCTTCCTTCAGCCTCTCCAATGTCAAGGACTCGGGCGCTGGAGGGCCCACGATGTCGTTGCAGAGTTTGAGGAAGGGCATAATGGTGCATTCCAGGGCGGTCTTGCCGACCCATCGTGCTCCACGTGTAAGAATGTCGACTGGACCGGGTGCCCAGCGTGTGTACATGCTTTCGATGGCGGCGACGATAGGCATCCCCCATTCGTATAATCCCGCGAGCTGTTGTGTTATGGAGGCAGAGGTTTAGCGTCTCATGTATAGTACTATTCGCTGATATATGAGGGAAAGATGCTTACGTGTATCACTCCAGCAACATCACTGCGCCATAGTCCAGCTGTTGCGCATGATAGTGCTCCCCCCATGCTGTGCCCGACAAGGAAAATCCGCTGATAGCCTCCTATCATCTTGATTGCATTGAGGGCGCATGGAATATCGACCTCCACGTACTGTGCGGCTGCGTAAGCATGTGAATGCCAACCAAAATGACACTGATATAGCCCACCTCTCGCATTGAAGCTGCGGGACGAGAACCCATTCTTCGAGCCTGGGCGGTTCCCCTCAAGTCTATTGAGTATGCGTCGTATCCTGCTCGGGCTAAGTACTCAACGAATGAAGTGCCAGATCGTCCTGGACATTGGGAGCACGCACGTAATGGGAAGTCAGTAATTCCATAAGGGAATCCAAAGATCATCAATCACAACGGACACACGACATGCCCACCTCTTCCACCTCCCAAATCAAAAATCTCCTTGTTACTAGCAAAACCCGGAATGCACAATACAGCGCCCTTTACTCTCTCGAATTTCGGGATTTCCAGCGCATCCACCTCGTCCGGATCGCTATATAGATCCTTGCGGGACCCGCCCGTAGCATGATAAACCCCTAAAGAGCACCTCCGGTCCAGAGGTATTGCCCCGTTGTTGTCGCTCAATTTTACTTCGTAGGTTTCGAAAACGACACTAAATATCTCTGCACCTGGTTCAGGGTAGGAGTCCATATGGAGGATGAATAGTGGGGTGAGCTTATGCGGGTCCGTGGACTTTGGTGGCCGTATGAGTCGGACATTGGACCTATGTTTCAGGAAGTATTCTATGTTCGGGTTGAGGGTGTCGTCTGAATTTGCCGAGGGCGCTTTGATGGGAGTGAGACTGCCATTTGGCTTCGCCTTGGGCTTTGTATCGGGAGGGAGGTTGTCCTCTGGCTTTGCCATGGACATCGAGGTTGCGAACTGGTGGGAAACGCGCGGGGCCAGAAGCGATCGAGGTGTTGGCCGGTGCGAAAGCTTTCTTTCAACGAAAGCTAAGTGTGGGTACACCGGTGGTAGTGTGTGAAGTGAGCTGGTTTATAAGTGTGTAGGTCCGGAGGTTTGAGAGTGTGGGAATGGCAGAATTGGCGATGAGGAAAGGGGGGGTTGGGGAGAGAAACCCCGACAAGCGCGCGTGAGAGACTGAGAGTGGCACTGACGCAAGGCTCACCGTGGTGGAATGTGGCGTGGCGCAGGGTCCAAAATCAAAATTTGGCCCGACTAACACTGCCAACAACAGAAAGGGGTGTTTATGGGATACGCTATACACGGTAATGTAACAATTCAACGTGTTGTATATGGCTCGGGGCAATGGGTGGGTGGCTCGGTGTATACGATGACGGGAATGTTAGAAGGCGGTGCACGGCCCTTCAATCACAAGGTATTTCACACAAAGAGAGTTACTGGGGCCCGGACTGTACGCGTGATGAGTGTCATGAGGATGATGATGATGATGGTGGGGAAGCACTGGACTACCAGCCAATTTGTAGCGATTCGGTGCAAGTCCAATTCCACAGCGAAAGAGAAAAGTCAATCGTTACTTTGGAGGGGAGGGGGGATGATCACTGAGTCTTGGTTCACTTCGATTTGACTGACGTAGTGTCACTCATGACGCATAGCTACCAAAAAGCTTACTCTCCACGAACTCCATAACTGTCCCACCCGAATTCCTGGTTCACTTTGAACAGCTGTCAATCTCCCATGATCGGACCCTCTCATTCTCACATGAGCGATCAACCACGCGCTGGAGGAGAGTCGTTGCCGGGCTTCAAACTTTGGCGGAGTGTCTTCGGAGTCTTATGGTCCGGTTCGGGGTCGCTAGGGTCCCTACCTCATAGACGCATCGGATTGTTCGGCCAGATCCATTCGACCATATTGGGCCTCCATCAAGATTTAAACTCCGCAACTTCCGTTACCCCACACTACGACATGCTCTATGTGGAGGACTATGATGTAGAATGACGAGGTCCAGCTTCAGGTAATAGCGACCAACTATACTCTGTTTTCAACGTGACAACTGATTGAATGGCAAGTTGCTTTCTTACATTGGTACCAAAGCATGAGACTTAGTCACGTACAATGGTACACTTTTCCTTCAAAACTGTTTACAGTGTACACCCTGGCGGCACAGTCATCACACTGTGGTTGTGCCACTCGCCAGATGTGGACGACTTTTTGCAAAATCCAGCAAATCCACGCAAATCGAGGGACCATAAATTCAAAGCACTCCAAGACGCAGTACAGTATGTAGAACATATAGCAACCCACATTCACTCGAGGCATCTGGTGCAAATTCGAGACTTCGAGCTGCCTCCAGATTTTGCGAACCCGCTAAGAAAAAGAAGGGGCAGGAGTGGCTACGAAACAAACTCCCGCCCAAGGAGCGCCTACTACCATGACAACGAGAGCTCAGACGAATTCAGTTCACAATTGCCAGCCTTCATAAGCAAGGATGCATCTCCTGTCCGGGTACTCCGGGTATGAGGGAAAGTCATGTCGCAGACTTTGCAGTGCGAGTTCAAGATTGATGAACGTCGAGCCATCCTTTAGCACAACTCGAACCAGCTCGCGAACGAAGTGTTGATCTACCAAAGCCAACTGATAAAGTTTAGGCATGATGTCAGAAAAGCTGAATCCTTACCCGAAGCCTCACGAAAGCCCCAAATGACTTTGATGGCCGCCTCCATCCACGATGCTCAGTATGATCCCCATGCTCCGTCCCTGAAACAAGATCAAATTGCCGAGATTGACAATAACTCATAGTCGGCCAATATACACAGCAACAGCAGCCGCGGTCGACATGATGGAGCCTGAAAATTTTGAAATAGTCGGTGGGGAACACAAGGTACGGCCGAACTACCCAAAAGAAAACATCACTTCGATAGTAGGTAATAGGACTGACCCGGGATTGAACCGGGGACCTATCGATCTGCAGTCGATTGCTCTACCACTGAGCCATCATTCAATGGGTGATGTAGCTACATAATCTTATATATACAAT